GAAAGAGAGGGAGGGGCCAGGTACCCTGGCTCGTGCCTGTAATCCCAGCACTTTGGGAGGCTATCGTGAAACCGCCTCTATTTCTTTAAAAAAATTATAAAATTTTTTTAAAAAGGGAAAGAAGAAGGAAGAAAGGAAGGACACAAAAAATACATTAGGCATAAAAAGGGGAATCTAACTACAGGTAAGTAGTAGAAAGTTTAAAAGAAACAGCTACCTAAATCTGTGGTAAATGACCTGCAAGCACTTTGAATGGTTACTTGTATTATCTAGAAAGTATAAATAACCAAAAATTTACTAAAAATGTTTAGAAGCCAAAAAGACTGATAACTGTAGTACAAATTAAGTTGACAGCCAACTAAGCCTTGGAAAAAAATAAAAGCAAGCCCTGGCTGAAAGAGTTTCTAAACTGAATTATTTCAAGCCTTTGAGGATAAGATAATTTTATATGATATTTAAACTATTTCAACTGTAATCCCAGCACTTTTTCAACTGTATATGTTGAAAAGACTTCCTAGTCATTTTATAACACTAAAATAGCATGATTTATAAATGTGACAAATATGTCTCCTAGTAGAAAAGTATGTATAAATTCTTACCTCTGAAAATAGATGAAAAATACCCTCAACAACATAGCAACACATCAGTAAAATGAACTCAGCAGCATTTTTAAGTGCAATAGAGCCTGACCCAGTGGGCTTTATTCCAGGAACAAAAGGATGATTTAGCTCAGAAGAGTGAATAAGTCAACACATTAATAGTCCATGGAGGAAAGGCATTTGATGATTTTGCTAGATACAGGAAAGCCTTTGATGAAACTGAATATCCATTTCTGGTGTTCACTCTTGCAAATTAATATAGGATTCGAGCATACTGTCTGTGATGATGAACACCTATTGGAAACATAGGCCTGATTTCAGACTCAGTGAAACATGAGAGGCCTCTCATTAAAATGAAGATCAAGCCAAGGACAACCGCTGTTATTTAATGTTACTTTGCACCTTTTGGAAAACACAATAAGACAAGAAAACTAAAGATGCATTAGAAATCAAGTTGACTCTTCCTTATGTGCAAGTAATATGATTAATTTCTTGGGTTTTTCAGGAAGTCAAACTGTTGAAAATCTGTTGAAACTAGTAAGAGTTCAATAATCAATTACTTAATATAAATCTTAAAAAAAAATCAATAGCTTACCTATTTACCTCCCCTGGGCACAGGTGTTTGCACATAAGTCTGTGTGAAGCTGGTATAGGGATGCCCACACCAGTGGCAGTAGGAGGAGGTGTGTCTGTGTGTCTCTGTGTCTGTGTGTGTGTGTTTCTCTGTGTTAGTGTGTATGTCTGTGTGTGTCCCTGTGTATGTCTGTGTGTGCCTGTGTGTCTGTGTTTCTCTGTGTTAGTGTGTTTCTCTGTGTGTGTGTGTGTCTGTGTGTGGGGGTCTCTGTGTCTCTGTATGTGTCTGAATGTGTGTGTATTTCTCATTTTGTCTGTGTATGTCTGTGTGTCTGTATATGTCTGTGTGTGTGTGTGCCTGCATGTGTCTCTGTACCTGTGTCTCTGCATGTATCTGTGTCTCTGCATGTGTCTGTGTCTCTGCATGTGTCTGTGTCTCTGCATGTGTCTGTGTATATACCTGCGTGTCTCTTTATCTATGTAGGTGTCTCTCTGTGCCTGTGTGTGTGTGTGTGTGTGTGTGTGTGTGTGTGTGTGCGTATCTCTCCAGGGATCTCTCAGCTCTGTAAGCTACCATCACCCAGGAACACAATGTCCTAGTAGGTCTGCTCTGCCAACCAGCTCAGCTACCCGGAAGCCACCTTTCCTGATCACCCACCCAAAACACCACACCACTGCCCCCTCAGGCTGGGTACTCTAGGAACATTCCAGTCCCTGTTCTAAAGACAGCTGTTGTATGCAGCCCCAGAGAGGACCCCAGGGAAGTCATACCAGGTTGGGGCCAAAGTTGAAGGCTCAGCCTCCTCACTCATGGGTTTGGGGAAGGGGAGGAGGGAAGTTCTCTGACACACACTTACCAGCCCAAAGCCCAGAAGAGGTGGCTGGTGGCAGTCACAATGACATTTGGGAAATGTCAGGGGCTGGGACCCTGCCCGGAAGGTGAGTGTGGGAGGTGACAGGGTCAGGGGTGGGGTGATTCCCCAAGACTGAGACTGCAGAACAACAGCTTTGCCAACAAAACCCCACTGAGCCAGTGGTGCCAGGGGCCACAGGGCCAGGGCCCAGCTAGCAGCAGAGGCCAGAATACAGAGGAGCTGGAGGGTCTTGGCTGCTGTCCTCCTCCAAGACCCATGCCATCCATAGGCTCCCACCTGCTTGTCATCAGGTTCCCTGAGGAGCCCCCAGGCCTTGTGTCTCATCTGCCTCTGAACTCCCCTTGTCCTGAAACCCACAGGGACCCAGGCAGCCCAGAACCCACAAAAGGAGGCCTCCTGGCCCCAGAGCCAGCTCTGACCCCGGGCCTCCTGGCTGACCTCAGGCAAGCTACAGCCCCCGGGCCTCAGTTTCCCCAGGTGTAAAACAAGAAGTAGAGAGTATGTGCAGGCCACTTCCCAACCTCATCTTTGTTCCTTCCTTCCTCCTTCCTTCTGGAACTTGTTCAGTCAAGTCAGCATCCCTTGAGGCCCTCTGGTCTATCCCACACACTCAGAACGGGGAGACAGACACAACTCCATGGCCTGACATAATCTCCTCAGGATTGGGGGTCTATGTGAGGTGTTGTGGGGGGGTGCAGGGGTGGGGAACTAACTCTGTAGAGAGTAGTCAGGGAGGGCTTCATGGAGGAGGTGATTCTGAGATCAGCTTCCAAGGATAACCAGGGGTCTTCCAGTGGGTTAAGGGGGAAAAGGGAGATTGACATGACAGATTGGTTTATTCTGGACACTCACCAGTAGTTCCCTGAGGATGAGGCCCAAGAGCCCAGATGTGTGGGGGATGCAGGCAGCTCCCGCTGCATTAAGTCAATCCTCACGAATCTCACCAAAGCCAGCGTGAGACTCTCTCCCCCAGACAGCCCTTCCTGACTCCCTGGCCCCCCCACAGACCACACTGTTGTGGCCCATGTGTCCATGAGTATGTGACCATGGGTGGTGCTGTCCCCAGTGCCCCCTGCATCCTGGCCAGGCCTGGACCTGCAACACAAACTGAGGGCAGGCTAACATAAGAGGCCATGACTCTGCTCTCCCTCCCCGTCCCATGCCCCGCTGAGGGCTAGAGTCCTCATCCCACCTCTCCTGGGGGAGCTCACAGAAGGTAGCTCAAGCTAGCAGGCCCAGCAAGATGGGCTTTGGGCCTCAGCAGGCTGAGACCAAGGGCTGTGTTGTCCTGAGCCAGCAGGTGCAGGTGTGGGCAGTGTGACCAGGATGCAGCACAGCAAGGGGCCTGCAGGGAGGAGCAAGCCAGGCTCTGCATGAGCACATGCAGCCTAGACCTCTTCCCGAACGCTAGACTGCCCACACCCCTGCCAGGCAACATCTCCTGGGTGAGGGGGTGTCAAACTGCCCCCGCTCCCACCTGCTGCACCTGTCATCTTGCCCACCTCTAAGGACAACGCCCTCCTTCTGGAGCCAGCCTGACCCCTCCCCATCTCCATGACAACAGCCTTAAGAATACCCAGAGAATCAGTCCTTCCCTCCTTCTCCTCCTCTGCCATCTCCCTGGGCTGAGCCTCTCATTTGTCCCCTGGACCACTGGGTGGCCCCCTGCTGGCTTCACCCCTCCCGGCAACAACCAGCAGTGCCCTGGCAGACCCAGGGGAAGCACACCCTGCTCTGCCACCTCCCACTGCAGCCCAGTCACCCCCACTGGGACACTTAAATACTGGTGCAGGGCCCTCCCTGCTCCCCTACCATGTAACCCAATAGGCCTGGATCTCTAAATGAGGGATCCACCATGATACCAGTGAACAGAAACTGGGCGGTGTTGTTGTGAGCCGAGGGACTTGGGGGCTGCTCTGACGCTGCAAAATGGCCTGAACTACCCTCACGGATGCACACCTGACAGGCCCTGCTCCTCTCCTACATTGCTTTTTCTCTAGCCCTCAGCACCACCTGACACTCGGCCCATTTTACCTTCCGATTGTGCTTGTTTCTCTCCTCTGTGGGCTCTGTGAGGACAGGGACTGTGGTGTTTGGTTCCCTGCTGAACCGCAGCACCTGCACACAGCAGGGGCCCAATAAATGCGCGTTGAGTAAGTGAAGGAATGAAGGGACATGAGTCCCACGTCTTTCATGAGGCCAGGGCTGGCCAGGGCTCAGCTCCACACTGTGGGCGCTCAAAACACAGGGTTGGCGGGGGCTGCCGCACCCGAATCATACCGCCCTGCGCCTCTGGGGGTGGGTCTCCATAAACAGCACGGGAAATGCCAGTGCCCCACGCTCAGGCCAGTTCTCCACCTGCTCCCTACAGCGCCCTCGCCCTGGAAGTACACACTCCTGAAAGCCCCATGCTGGGCTCCACTCTCCCTAAACACACAGACACGCGTGGGGCTCACAAGGCACAGGCACGGCAGTGCTCTCTCCCATGCACCGTGAATAAACGCTCCCGCGTTTCTGCAGCCCTCCCCCGCCAGCACCTCACACAGATCACTCACCGGGGACCACTCCTCACCCGGCACATTCTCCTGGGAGCAACAGGTGGTTCTGAGCTCCTCATATTGTCCGGGCTCCTACAAGCCCGAAGGTGCCCGTCCCGGGCAGCCCCCTCTGGTGCCTGCTGCTGGGGCGCCCCTTCCAGGCTCTCAGGAGCCGCCGTGCCTTCTACGGTCCCCAGTGTCCGCGGGCCGCACCGCGAGGGGCAGCGGAAGGTGCAGGGAGAGGTGCAGACTGGGCACCGTCCACCAGGCAGCAGGTGCTCCAGTGGAGATGCACAGAGGGAGGCCCGTGGGTCCCAAGGGCGAGGTCCCTCCAGCCGGGTCGGGATGCTAGGGACCATCGCATCCCTCCAGAACCCTGCCCCACAGCCCCGCACCCGCGCCCGCCGCAGCCCTACCTGGGGCTCCAGGAACATCCTGACCGCCTGCTCCCTTCGTCGTATTGCCCCGGCCGGCGTCTCGCGAGCGGCGGCTCCTCTGCCCACGAGGCAGGCAAGTGCCTGCCCCCGTGCCAGTCCGGGTCGCTGGGCGCCCCCGCCAGAGGGGCAGGACCAGGAACGCTGGGGACCGGGGACTGGGCGGAGGACAGTGGGGTCCAGGCGGGGCCAAGGATCCGCGAGGCGAGCCAGGAACGGGCCGAGGCTAGTAGCGCGGCGTGGCGGAGGGGCGGGGACGGGGGCGCGGGCGGCCTAGAGCGCGGTCTGGGGGCGCTGTCTGCACCGGGGAGCGCGCCTGGCGCTAGGTGTGGGGGCACCGTAGATGCCGGGGTGTGGAGCTGGGCGGGACTCCGGGGGCAGCTGCGCCGGGGGTCGGTGCTGGCGCACAGAGACAGCGAGCGGGCGCGGGGCGGGTCGGGGCTCGGCGCGGGGTGGGGAAGCCTCCTTACCCCGCCCCGGCCTGACCTGATGGTAGGCGTCCACTACGGAACTACAGCAGGTGCTAGGCCAGCGTTTGGCTCGAATGCCTCCCCTGACGGGGCGCTCACTCCACACAGCTCTGGCCTGAGGCGGGCGTCACACAGAACTCCCTGTCCTTCCATTTCCTTGGAACGCGGGGAAACGGCAGCTGCTTTTGTGGTAGGGCTGATCTGAGCCAAGGCGAGGGGTGGGCCGGGCACTTGGCACAGTGAGGCTCCTCCCGCCCTCAGAGCCCCAGCCTCAGAAGGAAATCTGTCAGGTGACGGGGCTTCCCCTCAGAGCGTTCCTGTGGTGGACCCCAGTCACTTGGAGGATGTGGACAGGAAAGACGTGCAGAGCCGAACAGCGCCCTCTCTGGGGGTCTGAATTTCAGCGCCCAGAGCCTGAGCTGGGTGAGAGGCTGGGTCTGGCTCTGGAGGAGACCGAGCTGGCCCGGGGCGGCCGCTAGGGAGGAGCGGGGTATGCTTGAACCGCACAGAGAGGCTCTGACAACCCCAGAGAGCTCGCAAGCCACCGGCTGCATGGACAATCGTGACCCTGACCACATCCGGCCGCCCCGGGACGCCCATACCCCCACCCTACCTCCACCCCCATGGCTCTTGCCCAGGCCTTGCCAGAGGCCCTCTACCTCCCAGCTCGTTTGCCTGCTAGCTTACCAGTAGCAATAACAGCTACCAGGCTGGCTCGATTGGCAATTGTCTCTATCTTCAGAAAGTGGGGGCTGTGCTGGGTCCATTTACTGGCCTCCCTCAAGCCAGCTCGAGGGCCAGGAGACAGGAGTCCTCCCCGAGCACTGCCTCCCACCTGATCCTCTCTACCAACAAGTGTTGGCCTGGCCTGGAACCACTTTCCACTGCTCAGAGCATGCACTATGCATTACTGCTTGGTACGCAGCGCCCGTGGGTGGGCAGTGAGGGGAGCACCAGGCAACCAGGCAGAAACGGCACGGTGGCCCCCCCAGCTTTCACAATGTCCTCCTCCCCTGCTGCTTCTGCATCTTGTTTCAGGCCAGCCAGAAGATGCAAAGCTCACGGTGGCCTTGGCAGGTGGTCTGGTGGCATCAGGATGGTCTGGGCTTGCAGGGCCACCAATCCCTTTAGGCAGTTCCATGGAGAGCATCAAGAGGGTGAAACCTAGTGTCTTGCCCCTGGTGAAGCCTTCCAGGCACCTGCCTCCTGCCTTCCTCGGCCCTGTCCCGTGGTCCTTCAGGGGAAGTCCATGTGAGCAATTGGCCCTGCTGCCTCCTGACCCCAGAACATCCTCTCTGCCTCCCTGAATGTGACACTTTAGAGGAGGTGGCAGATGGGTGGGCAGCCTCACTTGCCTTCTTATGCAGTCACAGGGCCACTTCCTATCATGCTTATCCCAGATTGCACCATCATCACCCAAGGACCTCAATAAGGCAGACACTTCCCCAGGAGGAATGGGGCCCTCTGCCCACTGTCTCTGGCTGACACAGACAGTGTGCTGTCTCCTTTGCCCGCCAGTATGACCTCAGTGTGACCTGACCCACATCCTTCCTGGTGCCTGAGGACAAGAGGAGGCTGCTGTGCGGGGACTAAGCCCTGCCAGGTGTACTGCTCACATGTCTGCAACTGGGGCTGAGGCTGTGCTATAGAGGGCTGGCAGGGCCTGAGACAGAATTCCACTGCCACTTCAGAAAGCAGAGAATAAGCCAGGTGCAGTGGGGCCAGTGGCCCTCTGCTGGGCCTTTGGGGAGACCAGACACACAGGAAGAGGCACTTCCTCTGGATGGCTCCCCCAGGGGCCCAGCACAAGGCCTGGAACAGCGCTGCCTCTGACCATGAGAGGCTGCACCAAGGATGGCAGAGCAAGCAAGCTGCCAAGGTCCTGGGATGAGGGACCCAGGACAGGGGGCTGGACTCCTGCTGATATGATTTGTGTTGTGTTCTCACCCAAATCCCATGTTAACTGTAATCCCCAGTGTTGGAGATGGGGCCTGGTGGGAAGTGATTGGATCATGGGGGCGGAATTCTCATAAATGGGTTGGCATCATCCCCTTGGTGCTGTTCTCCTGAGAGTGGAGTGAGTTCTGGAGAGATCGGACTATTCGAAAGTGTGGGGCACCTCCCCCTTCTCTCTCCTGCTCCTATTCCTGCCATGTGAAATGCCTCTTCCACCTTGAGCGAAAGCTCCCTAAGCCTCCCCAGAAGCAGATGCTGCCACGCTTCCTGTACAGCCTGCAGAGTTGTGAGCCAATTAAACCTCTTTTCTTTTTCTTTTCTTTTTTTTTTCTTTTTTTTTTTTTTTGAGAAGCAGTCTTGCTCTATTGCCTAGGCTAGAGTACAGTGGCACGATTTCGGCTCACTGCAACTTCTGCCCCCAGGATCAAGTGATTCTCCTGCCTTAGCCTCCCAAGTAGCTGGGATTACAGGTGCCCACCACTGCACCTGGCTAATTTTTGTATTTTTAGTAGAAATGGGGTTTCACCATCTCTACTCAAACTAAGTTCGAGGCCAAGCTGGTCTTGAACTCCTGACCAAATGATCCACCTGCCTTGGCCTCCCAAAGTGCTGGGATTACAAGTGTGAGCCACCACATCTGGTCAACCTCTTTTCTTTATAAATTACCCAGTCTCAGACCCTTTTTTTTTTTTTTTTTTTTTTTGAGAAAGAGTCTTGGTCTATCACCCTGGCTAGAGTACAGTGACACAATCTCAGCTCACTGCAACCTCTACCACCTGAGTTTAAGTGATTCTCCTGCCTTAGCCTCCCAAGTAGCTGGGATTATAGGTGCACACCGCCATGCCTGGCTAATTTTTGTATTTTTAGTAGAGACGGGGTTTCACCATGTTGGCAAGGCTGGTCTCAAACTCCTGACCCCAAGTGATCTGCCCTCCTTGGCCTCCCAAAGTGCTGGGATGACAGGCATGAGCCACTGCACCCGGCTGAGGCCTTTCTTTATAGCAGTGTGAGAACAGACTACTACCCTTGCAAAGGCTCAATCTCAGGGTCCACCCTTGCTGTCTCCACATAGCAGCTGGAGGGGCTGTCTTAGAACCTGAGTCAGAAGCTCCACGACTCCCACCTCAATCTCGATGAAGGCAGATTCCTAACAAATGACCCCATCAGAGACCTCAGTGCTCCCTGCTGGGCCTCGACATGACCTGTCCACCCTCCCTCCGTGTGGACGGTACTCTGCAGTGTCTGTGCTCCCCCACCTCAACAGGCCACCTTCTCACTAACATAGCTGCAATGCCACCTTCTGCCCCAGCACCCTCCTGCCATGGAACGTCTTCCTCAAGGTCACTGGGTCCAGCAGAGCCTTTCTACCTCCTGGTTTGTTCATCTGTTCTCCTGAGAATGTGAGCTCCATGAGGGCAGGATCTTTGTTCTGTTCACTCTACATCCCAGTGACTATAACATGTCTGTGCACACAGTCAGAACCTGTGTGTGTGCGTGTGTGTGTGTGTAGACAGATACAGAACATAGGTGTGGATAAGGATATGGATGTATACATCCAACACAGGACTTATATTCAGAATATATAAAGAACTCACATAAATCAAAAAAGTCAGAAGACTCCATTTTTTCCAAAGGGGCAAATTGAAGACCTATTTCACCAAATGAAGGTTATCCAAGGGGTGAGAGGCCTAAGAGAGCACCCAGCTCCATGACCCATCCAGGGAGGGCACTCACAGCAGCATGGCTACCATCAAAAGGCAGAAAATGCCATGTGCTGGCAAGGAGGTGGCACAACCCAAACTCTCAGCTGCCGGTGGCGGCAGGGTCAGCTGGTGCGGCCAGTGGGAAAACAGTCCGATTGTGCCTACAAACATCATGCACACCAGGCCCAGAAATTCCACCCTGGATGGAGGCCGGGCAGAAACAGAGACTCACAGCAAAGGACACACGCAGGAGTGTCTGCATCAGCTCTACTCACAAGGGCTTTGAACTGAAAACGACGTAGGCATCCCCCACAGGGGACTGGGTTTCTGCTGAGCTGTGGCATGTGTCACTCAATGGAACGCTCCACATCAAGAACACATCCAGATAACCACAGGCAAGGGGAGGGAGCCAAGGACACCAGGAACAAGGAGCATCTAAGGTTGGCCCCACGTGGAGCTGGCTGGGGGTCGGTAAGGGCCCCCTCACCCCCAGAGGCCTGGGATGCTGCCCTGGGGCAGGGGCTGGAGAAGCTGGATCTGGGTGTCCCCACAGAGTCACCCCATGAAAAATTACTGAGTGCACACTGTGGCTCTGGCTCAGGCACATTTCGATGTGTGTTACACTTCAATTCATATGAGGAAAACCAAAGGAGAGAAAAATAAGAGAGAACATCTGGGCTGGGACAGGCAGAAGCTGTTGGCACCTCAGGGCCCATCTAGGTGTGGCTACACCTGAGGGAAGAAGAGACATGGAGGAAGGGGCCTGAGCCTCCCTCCACTCGTCCCCCCAAGAACAAAGGCAGAGGCAGGGTACACCCTGCTCCCACTTCTAAAAGGCACAGCCTAAGGGGTCAAGCAATGGTGAGTGAGAGGCATTCACTGGTTTTGGAGGATGGAAGGTGGCCTGAGGCAGGTGACAGACCTTGCAGAACAGAGAAGCAGGAGCCCAGTGCCCCACAGGGGCTGACCAGGACCATACCCGTGTCTACAGAGGCCCCAACGAGGCCCAGCCCACAGGGGCTTGGGTTCCAGGCAAGGGATCAAAGGACAGAGGGTTCGTCTCCCCACCCTGCCCTGCTGGTGCCATCTCATCACTGAGCCACACTGCACAGACCAAGAGCTTCAGGTCCAAACCTTGAGGGTGACAGCACATCCTATTTTCTCCAGGGCCTGAAGCAGGGCCCCTGATGCCACACAAGGGTGCTGGCAAAACATGAAGCAAAATGAACCAAGCCCTGGGTAAGCTCGAGAGGCTCCTCAGGCAGCCCCTGGATCCACAGGGGTTCGAGGGCTCATGCTGTTGCCAGGCTCAGGCCCAATGTCTGCCAGACTCAAGCCTCCTGCACACAGCCATGGTCTGCACAGAGGCCTCTCCAGGCTCTTCCAGGTCTGGTCAGCACCCCTGAGCAGAGGCCACTGATGGCCCCAGTCGAATCCACACCCAAGCACACCCACAAGCTCCAGGGAAGCTTGTCTGGCAGCTGACCCTGTCCCCTGGGTCCGTGGGGAACCCCTAAGCCTTCCAGAATTTCCCTCAGGCTGCACATTAGTGCTCCCTTTTGGAGAATAATGTTCCATGCACTGAATCACTCGTGGCTTTGGGCAAAAGGCATAAAGGAAGGGGAGACGAGGGTCAGCTGAGCCCCCTGATGCACAAGGCGGCACCTTCCAGGCACCGGCATACCTGGAGCCCACTGGCCACAGCGCTGGGCACACCTCTCCCTGGTCGTCTGAGTCAGAGCCTCCACCCTCATGCATGGGCACCTTTGAGATGTGCATCAAGGTGCCATGGTGGGTTTAGCCCTTTCACACCCTAT